AGTTCAGTCTAATAACAACTCGTGGGAAGGAATAGTTAGCATGGCGCGATCTCAAGGAACAATAACTTCTCCTGGGGGGAAGAAGCTGGAACAGGGCTTTTCCCCGGGTCAGGGTTAGCAAGAGCCACCGATGATTCAAAGACTCCGATTTAAGAGGTTAGATCAGGGGTGTCGTACTTATTTTGGTTGAGGGCCGGATAAAAAATGAAAGGGCTGGTCAGGGGCCGAAAGAATAAGTGGGTTTCATTTATCATTCTTTTTATACTATGAAGGTATCTTTATTAATGACTTGTTTCACATTAGTTGGATTGAACATTCTTTTCTGATTATGATTGCTTAAGTTCCTGTGGACCGAACCAAAACTGGACCAAATATTGAAGGTATATAGGAAGGCATGGGGACGTGCCTTGACTTTCACACTTATGGGCTAGATTCATAAACAGCCTCCAGAACCAGCAGCTTACTGTCATTTTAGCTAAGCGGACCACCTTGTTTAGAGCTCTCCTTTAACAGAGGCAAGTTTATTTATATAACACAGTTTATGCACAAGGCAAGTTTTATCGCTGCACCATTGAAAGTTTGCTTGTTGGTTCTGTGACTGTGTGGTTCTACAGCATCACAGACAAAGAAAGGAGAGACCAGAGAGAGAGAGAGCAGATGATATTAGAGAGAGAAACCACAGAGAGAAACTAGAGGGAGACCAGAGAGAGAGATGCTCCGCTCTGAGAGAGGACTGTAGATGTTCTTTATGAATCCAGACTCCTAAACCCAGCTCTTTTAGGATAATGAAGGACTCTCCTGGTCCCTGGAAAAGCCATGTTCCAGCTTCTTCCCTAGGACGTCTGGATGTGATAACAGCTTATTTCCACAAGCTGTTATATACAGTGCCTTGCGAAAGTATTCAGCCCCCTTGAACCTTTCAACATTTCGCCACATTTCAAGCTTCAAACATAAAGATATAAAATTTTAATTTTCTGTCATGAATCAACAACAAGTGGGACACAATCGTGAAGTGGAACAAATTTTTTTGGATAATTCAAACTTTTTTAACAAATAAACTGAAAAGTGGGGCGTGCAATATTATTCGGCCCCTTTACTTTCAGTGCAGCAAACTCAGTCCAGAAGTTCAGTGAGGATCTTTGAATGATCCAATGTTGTCCTAAATGACTGATGATGATAAATAGAATGCACCTGTGTGTAATCAAGTCTCCGTATAAATGCACCTGCTCTTTGATAGTCTCAGGGTTCTTTTTAAAGCGCAGAGAGAACCATGAAGACAAAGGAACACAGCAGGCAGGTCCGAGATACTGTTGTGGAGAAGTTTAAAGCCGGATTTGGATACAAAAACATTGGAGCCAAATACAGGACCATTCTGGAAGAAAACCTGTTGGAGTCTGCAAAAGACCTGAGACTGGGACGGAGATTTATCTTCCAACAGGACAATGATCCAAAACATAAAGCCAAATCTACAATGGAATGGTTCACAAATAGACGTATCCAGGTGTTAGAATGGCCAAGTCAAAGTCCAGACCTGAATCCAATCGAGAATCTGTGGAAAGAGCTGAAGACTGCTGTTCACAAACGCTCTCCATCCAACCTCACTGAGCTCGAGCTGTTTTGCAAGGAAGAATGGGCAAGAATTCCAGTCTCTCGATGTGCAAAACTGATAGACATACCCCAAGCGACTTGCAGCTGTAATTGCAGCAAAAGGTGGCGCTACAAAGTATTAGCGCAAGGGGGCCGAATAATATTGCACGCCCCACTTTTCAGTTTTTTATTTGTTAAAAAAGTTTAAATTATCCAATACATTTCGTTCCACTTCACGATTGTGTCCCACTTGTTGTTGATTCTTGACAAAACATTTAATTTTTATATCTTTGTTTGAAGCCTGAAATGTGGCGAAATGTTGAAAGGTTCAAGGGGGCCAAATACTTTAGCAAGGCACTGTATACTGAGACCAGAGAGGTCTGTATGTATACTGAGACCAGAGAGGTCTATACTGAGTCTAGAGAGGTGTGTATGTATGTATACTGAGACAGGAGAGGTGTGTAAGTATGTATACTGAGAGAGGTATGAGCTCTCTGTGTCCATCAATACAATGTAATGAATCTATGAAAACATGTGACAATAATTAATTGTTTTCATAAATATTTCTTGCAAACACGGTCTAAACCACAGGCTGCCTCCACACCCAACAACAAAGCGTAGCGCAAGGGGGCCAAATAATTTTGCACGCCCCACTTTTCAGTTTTTTATTTGTTAAACAAGTTTAAATTATCCAATAAATTTCGTTCCACTTCACGATTGTGTCCCACTTGTTGTTGATTCTTGACAGAAAAAATATGTTTTATATCTTTATGTTTGAAGCCTGAAATGTGGCAAAATGTCGAAAGGTTCAAGGGGGCCGAATACTTTCGCAAGGCACTGTCTGGGGCTCACTGGATGTGGTTTTACTGCATATGGCAAATAAATTGGATCTTGTTCAGAGCCACTTACTTGGGCTTCGCTTCCAGATTGCGGGGCCCTCTTCTTGTCTTCTGCCTTCCCAGTCTGGGAAGAACCAAAACCTCTGCAGCTGGATTCTATAAGCTTAAAGCACTTTCTCCAACCTCGAACCTTCTCCAGCCTCTAACCCTCTCCAGATTCTATCCTCCTCCAGCCTCTAACCCTCTCCAGCGTCTATCCTTCTCCACCCTCTAACCTGTAACCTCCTCCAGCCTCTGCCCCTGCACTCCCCCACCACCTCCTGGTACTTAACACACCTCTCTCATACTTTACCCTGTGTTCCTCCCAGGGTACAGTGAGTTCCAGCATGATTAGCTGTTTTGACTCCCAAAAGACCATAATCACGTCTGGCCGGAGGGACATTTCATATTTCTTGTGATCTTAATGTTTCTTTATAATGCCCTATCTGATTTTATTAGTATTTTTTTTATGTTTTTGTAGATTTGAATGAGCGTCTTTCCTACACAAGGCCACACAAACGCCTCACAACCAATATCCCGTAAAGCATATATCATAATAATCTTTAGACAAAATCATGAAAAGTCATAGTGCATTAAAAATAGATACAAATACTTCAGTTTGTCTGCACAGCTAAACAGTTTTAACCTGGATTTGTTAGCTTAAAACCGTTAGCTTCCACTCATTCACCTTCATATATTTTGACAATGAACCAGTGTCCTATAGATACTAAAACTTCAGTCTAAATAATAGGCTCTACCCCAATAAAAATACGGTATTTTTTTAAAAACTATTAATATGCGTCAAAAGTCTCCCGCTCGCTGTTTCTCCAGACCTAGTATCTAAACTTTCAATAGTTTGCTGGATCATGGCCCATTGTATTTTTACCTAAGAATAACAGATTTGAAAATGTGATTTGTTAATTTAATTTGTTATACACACTGTTTTACACACATCATTCAATAATGTGATGTAAAATGAAAACATGACCTGTCCCTTTTAACCAGGGGTGTCCAAACATTTTTGTAATAGGACCACTGTAGTTTAACAGACTAGTCCAGGGGCCGACCACCAGGATTGAAAAACTGTTTTGAATCGTTGTGGAATTTCTGCACAGGCCGAGAGCAAAAAGAATGTAAACAACCAAGAGCCAATCGAAGTCTTCGTTTAGTCATTAGTAAACGTGACATATACAATGAATAACAGAATCGATACCGACACCAGCTGCAGCTCTGAGACCGACTGCACCAATCAGGAAATGACTGGACATTAAACAGACCAGAGTAAACAAACACATAACTGCTCTAGATATGACATAAATGAAGTCAGTATTGATGTGTCGCTCAAGGCTCCTCTTCACGCTTCCTCACGCTGAAAAAACTCTGAAATATAAAAACAATCTCAGTCCAGGACGTATTGTTCTTAGACACAGATATGGTCAAAGACATGTAGAAGCCCGTCTCCCATCCATCAGCTGACCTTGCTGCCGACAGATTATATGTGCTGGATTTGATTACAGAGTTGAGAATTGGTTAGTAACTCACTCTTAAAACTATTTGATGTTTCTGTATTTTTTGTGTCTTATCTGTTGATTCTCTGATCTGTGTTGGTTATTTCAACGGTTTTGCTAAGTCCTCTGAGATAACTACGGTTGTGATTTAGGGCTATACAAGAATACATTGAATTGAATTGAGTTTCTATGATATGTGTGTTAGAGAGGCAGAGGGCCCTAATCTGTGAAAAGGCATTAATAAAACCTACTAACTACAAATACTTCTTTAACTGATAACAGTAGTTCAGATGTGAATTTCCTAATTAGTTTTTCAGCCCCTAAATCTTGTCATTGATTTCCTTTCAATGTCCCGCCCTCCACTGTTTTACCAATCAGGAAGTCCGTGATCCGTGTTGTCAGAACTCACAGCGTCAAGCTAATCTCAGGGGTAAAGCACCATGTGGAGCAGAACTAAAAAAGCTCTTGTTATGGTTTTCAAATGATTAACGACAAAACAAGGAATAAAATCAGGATTACTCTTGTCTATTCAGATATTATGGTCCCAGCTGGATTTGTCTGCATATCTGGCAACCTGAGTCAGGGAGAGTGGGAGAGGCTGCAGTACCACTTATGCCAGATTTTTACATACTGCTCCTTTAACTGTTGATTCTCTGATCTGTGTTGACGATTTCAACAGTTTTGTTAAGTTTTCTGAGATAACTACTGTTGTGATTCAGGGCTATACAAGAAAACATTGACCCGAGTGTCTATGATATTGTGTGTTAGCGAGGCAGAGGGCCAGACAACATGACGCAGAGGGCCGCATTTGGCTCGTGGGCCTCAGTTTGGACATTTTAACCGCACATCCTCCACAAGTCCAGTCCATCCGCTCACACTCTCTCACAGTCCCCAAAACAGTCATAATATTTGCTCTTTGCGGCTTCGACGGGGAGCGGAAGTGTCTCGACCAGCCCCTAGCCCAGACCAGCCCAGCCCAGCCCGGCCCGGCCCTGTCACTGCGCCAGGGTTCCAGCGCAGCCTGTGCTCACTGACTCACATTGTTGCCCAGCGTCTGCAAACTTTCGTCAAGCGTCTGGCACATGGCGAGTGTGTCATTGTGGCGGTGACGCTGGTGACTCTCAGAACCCCCTCCGGAGCTGCTGATTGGCCGCGCAGAAGGATGAGACGCAGGTAAAAGAGAGGCCAAAAGCGTGACCTTAAGAAGCAAAACAACACGACGCGATTAGAGCTGGCTCCGACCGACTTGTCAAGATCACCCGTCCACAATGCAGCCTCTTTGCGTCATTGTGGAAATGTCTGGATGTTGGCCACTTCAGCTGAACAAGTTTGATTTATTTTACTTTTCTGTTGAATGGTTTTCATTCAAACGCCACGGTATTTCTTTGCGACGTCCATAAATCTAACTTCTGAGAATATAGCTTTAATTTATGACAGCCACAAGTTTGCATGATGTGGCGGATATGAAAGTCAGTGGAGCTTTGGTCCGAGCCAAAAACGATAAATATCTTTTTTTTATGCAAAGATATGTGGGTTGTGTGTTATTGGCCATACTTGCATGTGAAAAAGCCAGACCCCGTCAGATCTCTGAAGCTGTGCAGGGCAGGGCGTGGTTACTGCTGTGATGGGAGACCTCTGGGAACAGCAGGTGCCACAGTCTTACTCCTGAGGCAAGACACTTCCCCCACATTAGAATGAGTCTGGTGTGTGTGTGAATGGTTGGTGGTGGTGGGAGGGGCTGATGGCACATACTGGTTGCCTCGCTTCTGTCAGTGTGCCCCAGGGCAGCTGCGGCTACAGTTGTAGTTCACCACCCTGTTTGGAGTGAATGAATCATGACGATGTGAAGCGTCTTTGAGTGTCCAAAAAAGCACTCTTAAAAACCAATACATTATTTTTATTATTATTATTATTGAATGTCTATAGTTAATGTCTCAACCAAAAAAACATGTGCTTTCTCTGGTTTTTCACATGTTTAAAATATAAAATATATTTGTTTTCCACTGGTTATGCACTAAATGTATGTTTGAGTGGTGGATTTGCTCAAGCGTCTCAGAAAGAAGGTTGTGGGTTCGATCTCCCGTCGGCCTGAGGCTTTCGTTGTGGAGTTTGCATGCTTCTCCTTGTGTCTGAGTGGGTTTCCTCCAAGTGCTCCGGGTTCCCCAACCCCCTAAACATGCACTGTGGGTAAAAATCCTCCAGCTGCGATAGATAATCCACCAAGATGGAATATGTCCTCACAGCATAAGGTCCTGGGTTAGATTCCACCTCCAGACCTTTCTGTGTGGAGTTTGCATGCTCTCCCCGTGTCTGCGTAGGTTTTCTCCAGGTGCTCCGGGTTACGCATACCACTAAAAACATGTACAATAGAAAAAACGTAACAAGAGGGTCACATGTGTGGAGAGAATGAAGAAAAATCTGAGCAAATTTTAAGTATCATACTAGACAGTTTTTTTTTTGTCTTTTCACCCATTGTGCCAAACAAGTAAAGTAAATTAATAATAATAGTATAAATGGTAGACATAGAAACAAACATGAATAGAAGTGGCCTGGGTTAGCTTTAGTTCACAGATACAGATAGAGAGAGAAAAATGATAACTCACTCACTTACTTGCTTTCAAAAGTCATATTTGTGAATACATTTTTTGTGTTTTCTTAAACTTCTGCGGCCGGAACGTCTTGGGCATGAGTTAGAACGTGAGTTTAGTTTCCGGCAGATAAAGTTGTTTCTCTCGTGACACTCTCCGGTCGTGTCTGTGCCTCTGCTCACGATCGAATGATGCTGCTCCGACGCTGTGTGACTGTTGTGTTTTTTGGCTTGTGCTTTGTTTTTGCCACGCACCTCATCCGTCTGAATCATCCGGGGCCGAGTTTAGACGGCCACTATTTCATTCACTCACGTCCACCGGTCGTAAGTAACTCCCGCTGACCTGTTTGATGAGTTCAGTCTGCATCTTTAGTCCAGATCCACGTCCAGGATCTTGCATCGAGTACAGACAGAGACACTGATGTAGGGTGGATTTTTGTATTGCTGTTGCAGCCAATATGTGAAAAGATTAAGATTAAGATTGAGATCCTTTTCTCTTTGCCAAAGAGAGTACCATCAACACGCGGGAAAAGACTTAAACAAAACTTAAAGTCAATTTTACTTTTTACTTAAGATTAAGAGATTCTTTATTCGTTCCACAGTGGGGAAATTTCAGTGTTGCATAACAAGTTATAGAACAGTAGGAAAGAGGAGCACACAGTACAATTTAAGTGAACAATAGCTGTACTAATTAAACGCATCAATAATAAGTATAAAATCTCTATCTTGAAAATAATATATGTTAAAAAAAATGTGTGTGTCTCTCTCTCTCTGTCTGTGTCTCAATCTGTTTCTATGTCTCTCTGTTTCTCTCTGTCTATTCTGTCTCTCTCTCTGTCTCTTTCTCTCTCTCTCTCTCTCTCTCTCTCTTTGGGCGGCACGGTGGCTGAGTGGATCGCACTCTTGCCTCTCAGCAAGAAGGTCCTGGGTTCGAATCCCGGTCGGACCAGGGCCTTTCTGAGTGGAGTTTGCATGTTCTCCCCGTGTCTGCGTAGGTTTCCTCCGGGTACTCCGATTTCCCCTACCACTAAAAATATGTACAATAGATCTGGCATGCGCCTCCTGTACTGGTCCCGCTCCCATCTCTGTGTGGAGTGAGAGGTCAACCGCTTTGTGACTCTGGTCTGTGAAAGGCGCTATATAAATAAAGATTACTTACTTACTTTCTGTCTGTCTCTCTCTCTGTCTCTCTCTGTCTCTCTCTCCCTGTCTGTCTCTCTCTCTCTCTCTGTGTGTCTGTCTCTCTCTCTCTCTCTGTCTCTCTTTCTGTCTGTCTCTCTCTCTCTCTCTTTCTGTCTGTCTCTCTGTGTCTCTCTTTCTCTCTCTGTGTGTCTCTCTCATGTGGATCATTCTAATACCTCATTGTGCATGTATAAAATATTTTAGATTGTATCTGAGTCTATTGGGGGAAGATGTCCATATACTGTATGTATTTACATGTCCATAAATGTCCATAGACCCTCCTCCATCAGCAAGGAACAGACGGGCTGTAGATCCAGGACCATTTGTCATTTAAGAAATCACCAAAACACAATCCCGGACGATACAAGAAAAACAACAGCAGCGACCTAAACAACCTTTAACTTTTTTTATGTCATTTAGTCGGACCCCCTGAGTATAAATATAAAGTTTGTATATGGCAGTGTTTAAACATGTTTGATAAATGTTTGCTTTCACGTTGGTTACTCCGCTGTGGAGCAGAAGCATCGCAGGAATGACGTTGGCGTGTCGTGGCCTCGGGCTCGTCTCTGTGTGAGATTCCTTTAGGAGCAGGAGGTTGACGGGTTGATTGCTGATAGACTTTGCCTCAGATCTTATTCTGAGAAGGCGACTTGTCTCTGCAGTGGTTCTTCTCTCCGTCGTGTCATTGCTGGTTTGCGATTTAATTAAATGTATGTAATTATGAAATTTGAGATAGATTTTTACGTATGATCTATCTAATCAAAGCTTCACTCAGACGACTGCTGTGTCCCTGGGTCATGTGTGATGTGTAATGATAATACCGGAGCCACAAATGTGTTTAGAGAGCCACATTCTTTTGAGGGGGGGGGGGGGGTCTGACTAGCTTGGGTCGGGGCCCAAATTGAAAATAAGTGCTGGTCAAAGTATTTTCCTATAAATATATAATAGGACAAGGTATTTTGGCAAATATAAAACAACTTTTATTTTGTTTGTATTTCCTTTTCTGGTACATTTTACAATACATATCTGAATAATACAGAGATTGAAGAGAAAAGTTTAGCAAATGTCATTGCTGCAAAGATGTGGTGGCTCTACTCTCCACAGGCTTCGTTAGTGGCAAAGGAGATGGCTAAAGCTAATATAAATGCTAAAGCTAGGCTAAATGCTAAATACCTAAAACTCCAATCGTTTCAATCTGCAACGAGCAAATCCAGACTTAAGTACGAAATGAGTATGATGGTTTGGTAAGACCAGGCGAGGATTGAACCGAAACTGGCCAAGGAAACGATACATAATCATGGGACATTTGATATGGCAGTTTGACATGCCTGCTTTAGAGAGTGTTTTCCTTATGTGTCGTTAGGGTAGTGGTTCTTCTGGCACCCCCTCTTCTGCTCTCTGTTAGCTCCACTGTTAGCTCCAATATTAGTTCCGCTGTTAGTTCGGCGTCTCTAATACCGTTCTCACAGACATTCTTCTTTACTCTGCTAAAGTTAGAGCTATTATACTTGCTTCTTTACTATGCAAAAGTTAAAGCTATGGGATCTACAGTATGCACGAACCACTTTCGCGTTTTAGTTTTAACGGCACTTGACTTCCGGTGCGCGGGGATCGTCTTGAGTTTCCCTGAAGTTCAGCAGGTTTACACGAGTTTCCTAAATAATGCTCAAACAGGAATTATACTGTTTTGATACTGGGCATTTTTGGGACACAGCAGTGCTCTTTGATTGTGCTGTCATTGTGATTTTATAAAGTTAACTAATCTCTCTAAGTGGCCACAGTCAAAGCTTTTCCTCAGAGAGAAAGCACTTCGACACTTTTGGGTCAGTCTCAGCTGAATGTATCAATCTAATTACTAAAAAACGTCACTTCAACTCACCACAATGTCGTAGCGATAGCACAGACAGGAAGTAAACGAGCTGTTCTTTGTTTAAAGGAAATGATGTCATGCCTCCCTGTGCATATAGCTCAATATACTATGCTAAAGTTACAGATTCCTGCTCTCTGTTAGCTCGGCCTCTACACAACACCGTTCTCAGTCTCTCAGATGCTTTTTTTTTTTGAGAAGGCGACTTGTCTCTGCAGTGGTCCTTCTCTCCGTCTTGTCATTGATGGTTGGGATTTAATGAAATGTTTGTAATTATGAAATGTAGTCTAGACCTTTGCCTGCTGTGCCCTGGGTGATGTGTGATGTGTAATGACAGTTGTAACGCAGGATGTGTTTATGGATTCATGAAAGCCAGACCGAGCTGCTGTGATGTGGTCTGGTGGATAGCACTCTTGACTCACGCCACAGCGGGGTCCTGTGTATTAGGACCACGTTTTAGATCTCGTCTCAACTCAAAAGCACAGATTGCAGCTGACATCGTAGGCAGACAAACGGCAGCGTGTGGAGAGAGAGCGTCAAAAGAAGTGGAAAAGGAGCAGAATAACGAGACGGGACACAAACTAAATACAGAAGCTCTCGAAAGTTTTAATACAGCTTTTGTCATGTTTACAACCATTAACATACAGATTTTATTTAGATTTTTTTAGCAGAAGTTCACACACAAGTAGATAGAGTGCCTTGCGAAAGTATTCGGCCCCCTGAACCTTTCAACATTTCGCCACATTTCAGGCTTCAAACCTAAAGATATAAAATTTTAATTTTTTGTCATGAATCAACAACAAGTGGGACACAATCGTGAATTGGAACAAAATTTATTGGGTAATTTTAACTTTTTTAACAAATAACAATCTGAAAAGTGGGGCGTGCAATATTATTCGGCCCCTTTACTTTCAGTGCAGCAAACTCACTCCAGAAGTTCAGTGAGGATCTTTGAATGATCCAATGTTGTCCTAAATGACTGATGATGATAAATAGAATGCACCTGTGTGTAATCAAGTCTCCGTATAAATGCACCTGCTCTTTGATAGTCTCAGGGTTCTTTTTAAAGCGCAGAGAGAACCATGAAGACAAAGGAACACACCAGGCAGGTCCGAGATACTGTTGTGGAGAAGTTTAAAGCCGGATTTGGATACAAAAAGATTTCCCAAGCTTTAAACATCTCAAGGAGCACTGTGCAAGCAATTATATTGAAATGGAAGGAGTATCAGACCACTGCAAATCTACCAAGACCCGGCCGTCCCTCCAAACTTTCATCTCAAACAAGGAGAAGACTGATCAGAGATGCAGCCAAGAGGCCCATGATCACTCTGGATGAACTGCAGATAACTACAGCTGAGGTGGGAGAGTCTGTCCATAGGACAACAATCAGTCGTGCACTGCACAAATCTGGCCTTTATGGAAGAGTGGCAAGAAGAAAGCCATTTCTCAAAGATATCCATAAAAAGTCTCTTTTAAAGTTTGCCACAAGCCACCTGGGAGACACACCAAACATGTGGAAGAAGGTGCTCTGGTCAGATGAAACCAAAATCGAACTTTTTGGCCACAATGCAAAACGATATGTTTGGCGTAAAAGCAACACAGCTCATCACCCTGAACACACCATCCCCACTGTCAAACATGGTGGTGGCAGCATCATGGTTTGGGCCTGCTTTTCTTCAGCAGGGACAGGGAAGATGATAAAGGCCCTACGGTAGCACGGAGGGCCGCAATTGACCCGTGGGCCTGAGGTTGGACTTGTGTGTTTTTTGTCCAGTGACTTTTGAGTGAAAGTTGTGTGAGTATTTGTGACATGATCAGGTTTTTAAGGGCTGTCATTTTCACTGTTTTTTCTGAAAAAACTGATTCGAGGAAGAGACAGAAGCCAAAGACACATTTATGAGAACACTAGTGATAGACTAAACTAAACTAAACTGAACTACCGTCTCTAAGCCTGAGGGACGAGGTGTTTGGAGTTCATTTGTTTGTGGTTTAAAAGTTAGATACTGCAGCTTTAAGGCAGATGATGTTGAGTTACCCCCTTTAATGTTTTTGCCTTTTTGTTTTATAACTTTCGGTATCAGTCAGAGTCTCAGTCTCAGTCTGTAGACCCAGGATACTGGAAGATGGCTGCCAAGGAAGCGCACAGTTTGACAGGTGCTGTGCATGCTCCTTATAGTCCATCAAAATCCATCAAAATTGTAACATCTAATAAGAGATGGATTTCAGTGGTCATCTTGACAGCTTGCCTATTTTTCTTGCCGATGCGGGGACGATTTACAGCCACAAACGCAGAAGGGTTTCCCCATGCACAAGAGGTCAATATCTTGTGCATTCAGCAGTGCTGGACAATGGACACGCAAAGTTGCCTTCTGTGAAGCCAATAAAAGTAAAACCTGTAAGTACCAACATTACTCTGCTACACTTAGCTATCATTGTACTGCTGGCTGGGGATGTTGAGATCAATCCCGGGCCTGAGTCAACTACATCTGACTTGAGCGCGCAGTTAGCTCTCCAGCTAATTCAAACAATCCACTCCGCAGCTGGACTGCTTCCTCTCACCGCTCCTCCATGGGTTTTACAAACACCAACGCTAGAACTACCACACCGACCTTGGCTTACGCAGATATTGCATATCGGGTATGCGTCATCTATGCAAGGCGCATTGTTACCAAACTTGCCCGGGCTATCGGTTACCAGCGGGCGAACAGGAACACAACTTGCGGGCCTACCTGGCGGCAGTGCGGGGTGGTGCAGCGGTAGTTGGACTCACTTGGTGGTAGGACGTCGAGGGACTTCTCCAGTTCCCGTGGACGTGGTGCGCCCGGTGGATCCGATGTCTGGAGCTTATCCTTACCGCGCGGTGACAACAAGCGTGCCTGCATTGGGAGCATTACTACCCCCCCGTATCTACAGCGCAGCAGGAGCATGTGCTGTGGCTCCCGTACTGGGATCTTTCCCATGGCTAACGGGGAGAATTTGCTCGCCTATTTCGACCAACTGCAGCCCAGCGGTTATGCATCCTGTGGAGCGTGTTCCGGGGGGCTCTCCAGATGCGGGGACAACACGCTCAATGGAGGAAAGCAGCAGTCAAGTGCATGGCCATTCGGATTATCCCAACAGAATCACAGATCAACCTGTCTTCAAAACTAGGTACAGAAACCCGGTGTTCAAAAAGCACAGAAACACAAAGCTATTCACTACGCTAAATCATGCTCGGATTATCTGGGACCCAACGTATAAGAGAAGTGGTTTACTTGGAGGCCATTTGAATATACGTAGCATGATATCAAAACGTGAACAATTAGAGCATCTGATATGTGAATCTAACTTAGACTTTTTTGGATTGTCTGACACATGGCTTAACAGTGCTTCACCAGACTCAGCAATAACGTTATCAGGTTTTAATATTTTTAGAAAAGATAGAGAACAGGGAAAAGGAGGGGGAGTACTACTATATGTCAGGAGTAGGTACCAATGTAGTCAAATTGTATGGCCAAATGGGATCACGTTAGAATGTGTGGGAGTAAAAATTTCTCTCTCTACTGAAATGTCACTGACTGTAATCTGCTTCTATCGTAAACCTTCTTCTAAGAGCGATTTTTATGATCAACTCAAGGATCTTCTTAATACGTGTAATCATAAGAAGGAAATCATTTTATTAGGGGACTTCAATATTAATTGGGATGACAAAAAGGACAGGAAAAATTTAAAATCAATAACAGAACAATTTAATTTTACTCAATTAATAGAGAATCCGACTAGGATCACCAATCGTTCAGCATCAAGAATTGACCTGCTTTTTTCAAATAAACCTGAAAGGATTACTAAAACGTATAATCTATTAACTGGGCTTTCAGACCATAATGCAATTTTTTGTACAAGAAAATTAACTAAACAGCGCTTTGATCAGTCAATTACCAACCATGTTGGGAAATCAAAAATGACTGGTATACCAAAGAACCAACAACAAAATCTCGGAAGAGCATTAAATGATCTGACTTGGGAAAATCTTAATGCATGTGATGATACTGAAACATGCTCTGAACTATTTCTCGACAAAATTCATGAAGTTTGTAGGTCTTTTACAAAAACAATAAATCACAAAAAAAAGAAATCCAACTCTTTGCCATGGTTGAATTCAAATGGTCTGAAATCAATGAAAACAAGAGATCAGCTACTGAAAAATTCAATTAAGTCTGGGTTGACGACAGACAGACAAAAATATGTATCCATGAGAAATAGAGTAACATCAGAATTGCGAAGAGCTAATTCAAATTTCTTCATTACAATCATGGAAAATGCAAATGGTAATGGGAAACAAATATGGCAGAATATCAATAAACTTTTAGTGAGGCAGACAAAGAAACATACAAATGACTTGGAATTGAAAATTAACAACCAGCTTGTAAAGGATCCCGCAATATTGGCAGAAGAGCTGAATGTATCGTTTTTACGCTCTGCTGATCAAATAGCTGCATGTTTTAAAACACTTGAATTATCTTACAACCCTGAAACAAACAATCAAACCTTTAAAATAAAATTAATATCTGAGGCTGAAATTGTAAATATTATAAGCACTATGAAAGACTCCAAAGCTAAAGACCATCATAGCTTTGATGTTGGATTTCTTAAAATGCATAAAATGTCCTTAGCACATCCAATTGTGCATGTTATTAATTTGTCGATTAAGCACTCCATTGTACCACAAACATGGAAGGTGGCCACAGTTACCCCCATTTTTAAATCAGGCGATAGAACTAATATAAATAATTACAGACCAATTAGCATACTGTCAGTTTTTTCAAAAGTTCTTGAGAAATGGGTTGCAAAGCAGTTAATTGAACATCTGCAAATGGGCCAAACTCCTTTGCACCCAATGCAATTTGGCTTTTGCGCACATCACTCAACTGAATCTGCCATAGCAATGTTTCTGGAAAAAGTCAAAAGTAGTCTGGATAAAAAAAACAATTATGTAGGAGCAGTTTTTCTTGACCTGAGAAAGGCGTTTGATGTAGTGAACCATAGTATACTATTGTCAAAGCTGAAAACTTTCAATTTCTCTGACCAAGCCTTAAAATGGATGTCTTCATACCTATCAAACAGAAAACAAGCTACTGTAGTCAATGGAAAGAAATCGTCTTTATTGCATTGTACACTAGGGGTCCCCCAAGGGTCCATCTTGGGACCTATTTTATTTTCACTGTTTATAAATGATTTATCTGATGTTTGTAAGGATGTAGACATTCAACTATACGCCGATGACGCGGTGATTTATACAACTGCAAAATCATCTGAGGAAGCAGCCCAAATTCTTACATCAGCCCTAACTCAAATCCAGCATTGGCTTACTCGATCATGTCTTCAGCTAAACGCACAGAAAACAGTCTGTATGTATTTCTCAAAAAAAAACTTTAATATTGCCCGCTCCAATGTATATTTTGGAGAGCAAGAACTGCAATTAGTTCAAGAGTTTAAATATCTTGGTGTTTTGTTAGATTCTACGCTGTCCTTTAAAAATCATGTTAAAATGATATCAAAAATAATTAGATTTAATGTGTCCAACTTCAACCAAATACGCAGGTCAATGACTGATCAAGCTGCTATGATGTTTTTACATAGTATGATCTTTTCGCACGTAAGCTACTGCATAACTAGTTGGTCTCTGACAGGTGTAACGATTCTTAAACCAATTGAAAGACTTTATAAAAAGGCACTGAAAATCCTTGATAAAAAACCATTTGGTTACCACCATTGTAATATCCTCTCCAAATATAATTTATTGAGCTTTGAACATTTCATAACATTCAAAAACTGTTGTCTAATTTATAAAAGCTTACATGGGTTGGCTCCACCACCCCTAACAAGATATTTTAAATACAGAACAAGTGCCTCGAGAACAACTCGGTCCATGAGCAGAGGCGACTGTGAGGTTCCTGTGAGGAAAACCTCTTTTGGTCAAAATGTCCTGTCCTATAAAGGCAGTGTCCAGTGGAATAAACTACCAACCACTGTGAGGGAGGCAATCAGCTTCAAATCATTTTGGCTCAGATCAACACAAACCTGTCAACATAATCGATAACATTTTAAGTAAAACGTACCTTAGGGCACCACAGCATTTTAGATAGGTATTTTAAAGAGAAAAAAAAAAAAAAAAACGTAATGAAATTTTAGATTTTTATAAATCCGTAGCAATTAATGAATTAAGTCTTCCCCTGGGTTTGTGGAAGTGAACTGCCTTCGCACCCATTTTCTGCCTCACCCTTCCCTGTCCTCCCTGTCCTCTGTCGTGTCCAGTCTTTTGTCATTGTATTTGCCTGAGATCCCTAATGTTCTTTGTACAGTATATTTGAATGTGTATCTTGTGGTCCCATTGTTCCTTGTCCTGCAGTCGTTCTGTTCCTGTACTGTCTTGTGACTTTCTTTTGTGTCATTGTTAAATGTTCAATGTGAAGTTTCACATCAGCCTGTCTAGGGACAACAGATGGAAATTAGCCTATGGCTAAAATCTGACATATTTACATATTTTATATGTTCATTAATATGTACTGTCCCTACTTAAATAAATAAATTAAAAAAAAAAAAAAGTCATGTCACACACCCTTTTGAGTCGACTAAAGCATCACCAAGGCTAAGTATGGTTGATTTCAGCTGCCTTGCATTTTTTTTTTTTTTCATGTTTTAATTTCCCGGCCGTAAGAAAGTGAATGCGACTGCTACGTTGTAAAAGATCAGGGAGAGTGGAAAAAGCAAAGTCCTTCACATGAGAACCCTCAGAGGAAAACGTGTGAGGCCTTCACTGCAAAATATGTCAAGCTACTTAGTGTGTGTGTGTGCATGTGTGTGTGTGTGTTTCTCTGTGTGTGTATTTGTGTGTGTCTGCCCACCTACCTCGGCTGCCCCTCCACTTCCCTAAATGTCTATCTAAATAAAAAAAATTCTCTTGAGTTTTTAAATTATAACTAAAAGGCCTTCTTCACCTTCAAGAGTTTCTCCTGCTTCTATATTGACCCACACTGGATACTAGGAATGCAAAAATCTGGGAATTTTCAAAAATTGAAGAATCTTAATCTTAAATATATTATAGCCTAATCTTGACTAAAAAAAACAGACACCGTTCAGATACACTTGAATATCCACGTATCACCTCACTCAGACACAGAGCACATGCACGGGCCTCTGAGACCACACACTACATTCAGTGCAGTAAAACCACATTGGAATACACGTGCGAAAGTCCCCCCAGTGGGAACCAGGCAAGTAAATACATAAAACAAGCTAAAAAAGTACAAGAAAAAATTGTCACTGTGAAATCGATCATCAAAAAAACCGACAAAAATGATAAAACATTAAAGAGTTTTGTGCAGACCGATACTAGCTTGTGGAAAGACGCTGTTAGCAAAACGAGATGTCTAGAACCAGAAGCTATAACTGTGCAAGCCTCCATCACGTTTACAGAAGATTTCTAGAAGCCAAGCTACTTAGAAGAGTCTGTTTGATGGTGTATCTGTGTGTATCTGTTTGTATGTGCCCACCTACCTTGGCTCCCCCTCCCCTCCCCTTCCCACCCATGCAGCCTTTCTGGTCCTGTCAGTCCTGGTGCTGGTGGTCTGTCCCGCTGGGAGGTTAAGGGCCATCCCCAGTTTGTGTGGGCACTTTTCTGGTCTTTTCCCACAGCCCTGACCCCGCAGGATCTGAAGATCATTGAGTAACATTTCAGAGAGACCCAGACCCCATTCAGTCTCAGCCCGTCCCAGAGGAGAGAGAGCCATAGGGCACCCCCTTCTCCCCAGCTCTAATGTGGTTCCTCCTTTCCCTTTGTCTAATGGTCAAACGGGGTCGGACGACTGGCCGCCGCTGCCCGGGACAAGACTTCCGCAAAGCCCGTCCAGAATGTGATCTGACCCCAAGACTAAAGCTGTCGCACATCAAACGCTGGGAACCCCTGGGAGTTCTCCTCGCT